TTTGGGGGGGGGGGGGGGGGGGATTTAAATTTACTTAAACTATTCTTATTGAAGTTATTCTACTACTCGGAGATTTTGTCTAGGGGTATTAGCTTTTGGCTCACAGATCTAGTTGGATTAGACAGGTTATTCTGCCAAATATACTTTATAATTTATCATACTATTAATCTAAGCGGCCTTCTTTTGTAGAGAGAGAAGAAGACTGCTGAGATGGTAATGATACAGAGGCTGATGAATGAAGACCTAACAGAGACAATCAAATCAGAAAAGGAATTGGTCACTTCAGATCCAGGTGAGCAATATAATAAATGTTTAGAAATATCCAGGTGAGTAGTTATAGGTTAAGTCTCATCCAGGTGATCAATGATAAAAGGATGTGGGGTTACACATGCATCAAGACTGCTCATGCGACCACTACACGTGTAGCCACCTGTCGCGTGCGACCATCTGTCTTTAGCGTCCGTTTTTACCCTACAATTCAGTTGTTATAAGCAACCATGTGTCTTTAGCATCCGTTTTTACCCTACAATTCAGTTGTTATAAGCAACCATCTGTCTTTATCGTCCGTTTTTACCCTACAATTCAGTTGTTATAAGCCACCATGTGTCTTTAGCATCCGTTTTTACGCTACAATTCAGTTGTTATAAGCAACCATGTGTCTTTAGCGTCCATTTTTACCCTACAATTTAGTTGTTATAAGCAACCATCTGTCTTTAGTGTCCGTTTTTACCCTACAATTCAGTTGTTATAAGCCACCATGTGTCTTTAGCATCCGTTTTTACGCTACAATTCAGTTGTTATAAGCAACCATGTGTCTTTAGCATCCGTTTTTACCCTACAATTGAGTTGTTATAAGCAACCATGTGTCTTTAGCGTCCATTTTTCCCCTACAATTCAGTTGTTATAAGCAACCATGTGTCTTTAGCGTCCGTTTTTACCCTACAATTTAGTTGGTATAAGCAACCATCTGTCTTTAGCGTCCGTTTTTACCCCACAATTCAGTTGTTATAAGCAACCATGTGTCTTTAGCATCCATTTTTACCCTACAATTCAGTTGTCATAAGCAACCATCTGTCTTTAGCGTCCGCTCTTACCCTACAATTCAGTTGTTATAAGCAACCACGTGTCTTTAGCATCCGTTTTTACCCTACAATTCAGTTGTTATAAGCCACCATCTGTCTTTAGCGTCCGTTTTTACCCTACATTTCAGTTGTTATAAGCAACCATCTGTCTTTAGCGTCCGTTTTTACCCCACAATTCAGTTGTTATAAGCAACCATGTGTCTTTAGCATCCGTTTTTACCCTACAATTGAGTTGTTATAAGCAACCATGTGTCTTTAGCGTCCATTTTTACCCTACAATTCAGTTGTTATAAGCAACCATCTGTCTTTATCGTCCGTTTTTACCCTACAATTCAGTTGTTATAAACAACCATGTGTCTTTAGCGTCCGTTTTTACCCTACAATTTAGTTGGTATAAGCAACCATCTGTCTTTAGCGTCCGTTTTTACCCTACAATTAAGTTGTTATAAGCAACCATCTGTCTTTAGCGTCCGTTTTTACCCCACAATTCAGTTGTTATAAGCAACCATGTGTCTTTAGCGTCCGTTTTTACCCTACAATTCGCTACGTTATAAGCAACCATGTTTCTTTAGCGTCTGTTTTTACCCTACAATTCAGTTGTTATAAGCGACCATGTGTCCAGTAATCGACCATTTTTTACCCCAAAATGTTTTAGTCCCCCACTGCTACTTCAAAAGGTTCGTAATCTGTCTGACTCTGGTATCACATTTTTCTAGGGAATACGTCGTATATCCTGTCACTTACCATTGCCAAATTTGTACCCTTGTGATTGCAAAATTGGGTCATAGTGTGTCACTTGTTTATGTGGAAGTACCTCTTTGTTGTTGTAGTGTCTCATATTGATATTGGGTCAGGATGTTGTGCTCCATTTTAGACTTAATGAACAGGTTTAACGGAGAAATAACGTCAAAACTCACTCCATATAATAATTTCAGTTAAGTTAGAGATTTTGTTTTGCTCTTCATTTTAATCTTCCAACCGACTCTAAGGACTAAGCTTTCTGGTTATCATAGGTTGAATATGAAAGTGTCGTCAAGAACATCACAATATAGAATATAAACAGTTATAAGAGTTTGGAAAACTGTTAACAGAGTTCGAATTTAAGCTCGCATACTCGCGAAAAGCGAGTGCAAATTGCAAACTGCGAGTAGAGATTTCAGACACCAGCATTTTTTTGCGAGTGAAAATTTTGGGCTGAATAATCCTCATTTCTAATGGTCGGTCTTTACAAATTCTTTCTTTGACAACTCGCGGTTATTTAAGCGCATTCTTGTCATTCGCCGAATGAATGATTCAGCTTTTGTCATTAACGGAAGTTTACAATCGATACATGTCCCGTGCGCATGTCCGTTAGGAAGTACCTGCACAAATAATGATGACGTTTACCGCATGCATGATGTTTTTCGGTAATCTATTTTTAGTTACTATTTATAGCGCAAATACGATAGGCTTGACTAGTCACGTGGTTGTATTGGGGTTTCCCAAGGTTAAATTTCACAGCTCACTGCACCGGCAAAATAACAAATGGACAAGTTGCTGATGTTGCCCTTAGAGAGTATGACCCAAAACCTGCTGTAACAAGATGGTGGTTGTCGGGACAAAGACAGAAAAGACCAAATGCTCTACCATATGGAGCAAGAAACTAAGATGCAGTTTTTATGCTTTATCTTAGAATAGCCTGAGCAGGCCAGCTTCCTTTCACAGCAAGGTTTGCGTCATGTATACATCCCAATGACCATAATTTAAAATGTCAGTTAATACTGTGTTGTTTTAGAATTTAAGTCTAAGTTAACATGTCTAATAAAGTTGGAAAAATGCAAATTGCAAGTTGTTTTCTCATTTAGCAAGTAAGAAAAAATACCACTTGCGAAAAAATGCAAGTAGAAAATCTGGTTAAATTCGAACCCTGGTTAAACATCAGTTCCAGTGTTTGAGAATGCTTCAGGAGCTTGCAGGCGCAGTGGATAGCACACTTGCCTTTTACCAAGGCAGCTGGAATTGGATTCCCCGACCATGTGGGTTTTCTCCGGATACTCCGGTTTCCTCCTACATTAAGAACCCCTGTTGCTAACATCCGGGCCAATTAGAGTAATTTATATAAGCCCGAAATAATTGTTATAAAATAAATAAAGTTAATATATGTAACATTCATTATACAATCAAGTATATGCACTTCAAACATGAACCTTTAAGGAGACGGATTTACATAAGTACTATGTACTTGTTTCTGGATCCTTTTCTGTATTTATAACCATGTACTATTGTAATTAAACATCAATAAAATAAAGTTTAAACTAAACATGAACCTTTATTTCTGATTCTCTTGTTCTCTTTACAGATTCCTTTGAACCAATGCCAATGAGGTTCTTACAGAAACAAGAATCCGTAAAGTCAGAAGATGTATCTATGGAGGAACAGGATACAATGGATTTTTCAAAAGTGATTAAATCGGAAAGAATTAGTGAAAGTGACACAATTGAAATAAAAAAGGAGCAAACAAGTCGACCTTGTACGCCAAAGGTCAAACTTGTGATACGAAACGATGGCCAGAACTTTACGAGCTCACTAGCAGAAGATGGTAGTAGTGATAGTAATGAGAGTAGTTACCATGATAATGTGAATATGGACACATCAGAAGTAGATCATCAGAATTCTAGCAACAGTAGGTCAGATTCAGATGACATTTCTAAAAGATTATTTGGTGCACCCCACCTAACAAACATCAAAAGAGAACCATCAAATGATGAGAGTGAGTCGATGGAGAGTGATCATTGGTCGGATAATAATAAACCGTTCAACCTTTACCTAGGAACAGACCGATCAGATAATTCTCCTGTCAGTAACTCTGACCTGGACGCTGGTGTGTATGGCAACTCTTCTCCTTCTCCACCGCAAAATGAAATCTCGAGGAGCGAGTATGAGGTTCATGCCGGTGATGCGGGTTCACCAGGTGCAAGTGCTAGGGGGAACAGTAATACACCACCATATGAGATGTCTGGGGAGTCTGTGAGACACCTCATCTCCAACGACAGCAACTGTGATAATAGTGTCTTGGGTTATCATTCCAGTGAGAAGCAACCTCTGTGTGTCGATTCGTTTTCGGAGAAAGACTTGTATCATTCCCACCACTATCCACAGCAATCGGACAGTTCTGATAAACAGTCGTTCAAACCATCATTCATGTCTGATTCTAAGGTGCCATTCTCCATAGAAAATGAGTTGTTCGGTAGAGAAGTTGATCATATGAACCAGTCTAAACAGCGGATCAGTAGTATTGGTAATGATAGAGAATTAGACTCTGCTGTTGTTGATGTGGGCGGATTCCATCAGTCGCAGTATGAACCGATATCCTCTCCAGAGATTGACCATGATGAATCTTTCTCAAGCCTAATCACACACAGAGTGGACTCGGCTTACACCATTGGTATGGGCGAGCATAAGGACCCACCACACCTGTCCAACTCTGATTTACCATTTAATGTCCCATCGTTTTCCTCTGCACGTTTGGATGTGGAAACTCGGGAATCGGTAGAGGACGATGAAGCGACAACTTTATATAGTGATGATAGTGATAAAGAGTCGGATTCACAGCAGGAGTTGTTAAAAGCCCAAATGGAAAGTGCAATAAATTCCATTGTCAGTCTCAATCAAGACTCCTCAGCTCACTCTCCATTCACACTTGATCATTCACAGGAGTTCTTCAATCGCCATAGCTATATGACAAATCCCACGACTGAGTCGGAAAGTGACAGTCCGGGTCCCAGCAGTCCAGTTCGGTCGGAATCCCCAGATCTAGAGGAACCTATGGATGATGATCTTGATGCTGCTGTCAATAGTATTTTGATGTAAATATAGTTCATAGGTTAAGAGAATGGTGTAAATTATTATTGTTATGGGGGAAAATGTCTGCATTATGATCACTATTTTTTAAAAGAAATCTGTAAAAATATTCTTAATTGTACATGCATACATAAGTTATTTACCATAAGACCTAAAATTCACAAAAATGTTTACTTTCTTGAAAACCGCATACATTGATGGGTGGAGATTGTAAAAAAAATGACTTTCAACCAATCAGAACATGTGTTTCATGTTGAGTATGATATTGGTGAATTAAAGGGTCCATTAAGAGTGGCTATCAACATGCTTACACCTGTATCTTCTGTATAACCTAGTTTTAGTTTCAACGTTTTACGTGCTGTACTTAAGGCTTGGAAGACATGCTCACAATCAATCTTGTCGGGTGCTGTAGTGTGAGAGGAGGAAACAAAGAAAGAGAGTTGAATCCATAAAGCATATATTTGATGTATTAAATATTCTGGTAAGGAAAGAATGTCAAACATGAATTTAGCCTGACTTAAAAAGGAGGAAACAAAATGACACCAAACCCATTTAAGACAGATTCATCTAGGTTTATAATTAGATTAAAATGACAATTATCATTTCAGTGCATCAGGACAGGTTATTTTGTTCTCTATTGATAATTAATGATTTGGTTGTGTTTTGATTATGCACTGTTTATGTACAGCAGGACAGGTATTTTTTGTCTCCTGTGGTGTAAAGTGCAAGGTTAAACTGTGTGTATGTTGAATATGCATTGTATTATTGCTGCTATGATGTTCATGTGAAATCCTTGTACAGGTACTTATAATGATGCTAACGCAAGTACACTATTTATAATCTTCCATGCTTTCAGTGCCATATTGAGTGACCACTACTACATAGCAATACATTTTATACTTTTTCACTTCTAGAATATTTCTGTTGGGATCTTACTTCTTGATTTCTTGAAGAACTATTTCTATTAGAAACAATGTTTCAATTTACGTGAAATTATCATTTAATACAACTCAGTACCAGTTATAGGGGAAGACTACAGAAAACAAAAGCATTGAATCGTTTCCTTTCCGAATCTTTTCCAAATTATTAAAAGAAATATTATTAAACTTTGTAAGACGTATGTACTGTAAACATATACTAATTTTTGAACAAACCTAAAATTTGACAATTTGAGAAATCACATTCGCCTTGTATTTTGCGTTATAAGCTTACCGTATATTATGAGATGTTACAAGAAGATAATGCAAATTTTACGATAAATTAAGTTAAAAGTGAATTGCGGTTATAAAAACTTTGTCACTGGCCAAGTTCATGCCTAGTTGTTTAACAGTGATAAGATGATTACAGTGGGCCACTCGATAGCAATGCACGTGCTTTGCCATGACTGCCAAGGAAATGGCTCTCCGCGCTTTTGACACTCTGAATTGACTTATACTTGTTATGTAACTGCTATGACTACCATGACAGTTTTTAGTTTGGAAATATAAAGGTTTTCTTGCGTGCATTTATGCAATAAGTTCTGATTGCGCAAACATGTGATACATCATTCATTGTGCTAAATATTGATAGTGCTAACTTAAGTATGTTTACAGTATAGGTTTTTTACTGGGTCTATTTTGTATTTTAACTCATTTACCCCTAAAGTTTCTTAATGAACTATCCCAACCTTTGAATTGGAAGAGTTCAAATGTGTCTTCAGGGGTTAATGAGTTAAGCATCAGAATGATTATTTCTTCATTCAAGTACATTGATCCTGTCCAATCTGACACCCACGCTGGATCCAAATGAGGTGGAATATGTACATGTCATATAGTAGATAAATATTTATTTTGTAGTTTTACAAACAAAGGGGATTACAGCTGCTGTATGTCAGATATAACAGGATTTTTTTATGTTACAAAGGTGGTACATAAACACATGTAAGTAGTCTTTTTATACAAACAGTAGTCTTTGTACATAGCCAATACAGAGGTCCTACCTGTACATGTGAAATGCATACTGCAGTCTTTGTATATAGCCAATACTGGGGACTTGTTACCTGTGTATGTGAAATATGCTGGTCATATGTTTAGTACTTGTTGCCATATCAGTGATACGAGACATGTTTTAGTCATAAATTATTAAATCATGAAAAGTAAATAACTTATTTTTGTTTTTCTCTCTAGTTTTAAACCAACGATAAATTACATCTTGCTGTCAGGAAATAAATTACCTATTTCCTACTCTAGCTATAATATCCCAAGTTCATTATGTTAGAATGTGTTATAATGTATAGCTTCTTTTCATTGAAAGAAAAAAAATCAACACTTTAAGTGTGGTCTGGCATCAAAAGTAGGAAATGCAGGGTAAATCTTGGTTAACCATTGTGTTAAAATATGTAGTCCTACACACATGCCACTTGTTTCACTGTGATCTTCTGAAAAGTATTTGGCCTTGGGGTTTGAACATGTAATCCAGGACTCGCAACATGATTCTCTGAAAACTTTTCATCCTCCGAGTGAATGTGTCGTCTAGATCTTCCAACTTTATCATCTGTAAAGTATTTATCCTCTAGATTTGATCATGTTGTCTAGGACTTAGAACAGTAAACCTGCATGACCGAACATTATAATAATGCTCTCTTACCCTTTCTGAACCCCTAACATATGTCATGACAAAGTTAAAGGCTCTGTATAAAATACCTTGTGATTGATACAAGTAGAATAGTTTGATGCTTTGAAATACGTAAAAAGAATCAAACTGCAGTGGAACGGTAAAATTGACCTGTTTTGAAGTTAGATGTTGCTTCTCTGTTATTTTCAAAGGATAGGTATCAGCCTAATGATTGGTCTCTTTGACCTTAAACCAATCAAATAGTTAACCACATTCCTTCAATTTTGTCACGACATATACCACGGGTGCAGAGAGCGTAAGTGAGCGTAACCCTGAAATTTGAGGAAGACTTTATTAACCTATGCACTTAATCATGCCTCTCTCCTATTCCATCTTTGCGTATTGCAGAGTTATCTTCTCTTGGGAGCAGGTATTGATTGTTACGTCACTTGTTTGTGAGAGTAACGTCATCAATTTTTGGGAAAACGACGTAATTTTCTCACACAGACCAATGATGTAACAATCAATACCTGCTCCCAAGAGAAGATAACTACTCTGCAATACGCAAAGACGGAATATATATGGAACTACTGGCTGTTTCAGTTCTTCCAATTCCCAGTGTAAACTTCAGAGAACACCACAGCACTTTGACCAGCCATAAGCACTCAACTAGGCCTGGTATCCTAGGACATGACCAGTCAAAATTAATCACTCTACTAGTCCATGCAGCATAGAGTATTTTCATTCTAGTTAAAGATTAATCTATTTCAAGTTCCAGTTTACAGGTTTTACAAATACAGTATCATTATTATTCCACACATTGACTGACACTATCGTAAATATTTTTCTTGAGTAATATGTACAATATTGGTGATATTTTCATAATAGGGTGTGATGATTTTTAAATCAAAGTAACCCAACTTGCAGTATTACGATGAGGGAGTGGAAATGGCAGTCACATTTCCCTGGCAGGTCTAGTCTGTTTGGTGTTGGCCTGTCCAGGCTCCTGTAGGTTCAGACTGAAATTATTTCCATAAATTTATGTTATATCATAAGTAGTTAATATCTGAAATCTTAAGACATATTGGTTTGTTAATTAGGTAGGACGCCAAACTTAAAAGCAAAATGGAAATGAAACAAATCGAAATTATTGTAATTGGAAGTGATGAAATGTAAATAAAATAGAAAACTACCATAATCTACAAATATAATTAAAACAGAATTACTGTAGTAGTCCTAGTTAATACATAGCTTGAAGTCTAATTAATAAACCCTTATTTCAAATACTTTTTGACATGATTCATCTTCTTTCAGTATTAAACTGTCTACCGAACTGCTGAATCTGTTCAGGATTGAACCAAAATGGGAATTTATTATGGGTTGTGTTTCTCCAGGTGCTGTAATTTCTTTAAAAGGTGAAATTGTAATTTGGTCAGAAAAATTAAGTTATAATGCAGGTTATTAAATTTGTTTTTTGATCTTGAATTTAATACAAATTATTAATAAGTTTAAATAAGTGTAGTCAACTATAATAAGATACTTTACAGTAGCTTAATTTGAATATTTGAAAATAGATGTTCTGTCTTATTTTTTGAGATGCAATTATGATTTTGTATTTAAATTTGCAGACTGCTCCCTCAAGACATGTGTTTCATATGAGTGGCATAATAGAATACTCACAATCCTTTTCTTGCCAACACCCAACATTTTTCCTTTTCAAAACTTTATTTAACTATATGCTTATTGAATCTTGAAATATTTAACTCTGGGGCTCTCATAATAGATTTTCAATGTTAATTATGCCAAATTATGTTCTTTAAAAAGTTATATGCAATATTGCAATTCTGTGTAATTGAGATATTTAATTTATGATTTTTATACAAACCTATGCTTCCTTTTTAGATGCAAAATTAATCCTGTTGAATCTGCACATGAAATGTTCAAAACTGTCCATGATAAAAAGTTTTCCCTGGTCAAGCTTTGAAGGATAATGAGCTTTGGTGTAGCTGTCACTGTACTTGTTCACATAAGCAGTATACAGTGGGCCCTTCATAAGAGGCAGATATTTGTGTGCTAAAACACCAAATAATTTTTCAAAACATCCTTCATTTTGAACAATGAAATCAAAACAATTGTTTATTTACTCGACTAATACAGTTGCAATGAAATTTAAAAGATGGTTAACACTCAAAATGTAAACTTTTTGTAGAGATATGCAGATATTTCAGTATTTATGGATGGCAGTTTTTTCATTCAAATGCAAATTTAAAAAAAATTGTGTAGTGAACATTGAACTACAATGTAAAGGTAACTTAGATTTTGTACTGTGCTTTTGTGAAAAATAGAGAACGCGAACAAAATTATTGCATTTGAATGTTAGTAACTCCAATAGGATTTATCGTTTTAAAAGAGTCAGTTATTTTTATTTGAGTTCTCTTTCAAATACTTAACATGATCAAGAAAATAATACAGAAATAATTTCAAATGCAAAACTTTCCAAAGGAAGTGCATATTTTGAAATTTAACCTCTTTTTTTTGGCTTATTCATTGTATTTCAAAATTGGCCAAATAAAATAAGTTTTCAGTGTAAGATTTTAAAAAAAGCATGTGCTGAAATGCGATTTTGTCCTCAGAGATGACCATCCCCACCTTTTCGTCCAGGCTCCACATGTCCATTTGGTTCATAGCAATAATCAAAATAAAGGATAAATGATACAGTTCACCTGTAATTAGCATTACTCCAGATGAACCAAGTAGTATCAAAACATTATTCCTATATACCTTTGTGAAGTATACCTTAAATTTCATAACCAAGTCTGATATAAATACACAGAATTCGTAATGCAGAAATCTTTTGCAATGGAGGTACATCTCACAGGATGTTAGCATGTATCCTTAATGAAAATATTAATGCTACTTTTGGTCCAATTGTTTTTTATTCTGGATATTTTTTAGGGAATCAAATTGTCCAGACCAGTTTATACTTTACATGCATTTTTGTGCATTTTCAGGTATATTTATATAAATTATTGCTAGAAAAACTTTTTATTTATATGGTAAGGAGTACAAGTACTTAAACATTTTCATATCTTCCATCACTTTTGTTGCTCAATACTTTTGATAGATATGTATTTGTAACACAATCGTCCAGTGCCATTATTTCGTAATTTATTTTATGCATTGATACTGACTCGTCATGAAACAATCGTGGACTTGAAATAATAATTAAAAAAATGGAAATTGACGTAGATTGTCCGAAAAAGTATAACGATAAGTAGAGTATGTACTATCATACCTTGATAAAGCACCAACACAATATTCAAATTTTGACTTCAGTTTGTTTCTTGATCTGTCTGCCTGATATCTATGTGATGTATAGTTTCGTGTAGACCTACCGTCATGTCAGGTTAACATTACGACACTATATGATCTCTGTCTACTCACCTGTATTAGTTGAGTTACGGGAGTTGTTGTGATATTCTTGTCCTAGGTTGTAAGAACTTTGGCCCACGACTCAGTCTGGTGCATTTGTATATGTCATCAAAAACATTGTATTGTAATTCAACAAAAAATGCTATTAGGAATATTTTGAACTTTCTGCTCTGTCCCATTCAGTTCATTCATTTTACGATAAAGGATTTAAAAACATAAACTGCCCCTCTGTCTCCCTATCATCAAATTACTGAAAATTCTTAAATAACAGATTACCGAGTGATATATTTATATATTTACATAGTTGTGTAACTCCTCAAGAAATGCATGCTCATGTTAAAAAATGGCTACCTATTAATAGGTTATCTGGTCTTTTCAAATCAAATCTTTCACTCCATTCCAACACAGTGTAGGTTTGGACACCGCATCTAACTATTGTGTTATCAGCATATGGCAGAGGTACAGAGAGATAATTTGATTTGAATAGATTGAATTTTGTAAGAATTTAGTCCGCTATAAAACTTGTGACTTGTAAGTTTAATTTCAGACCTTCTGATAAAGTGGCCGGTAATCTACAGGAACATCGAAGGCTTGCCAGATGTGATATGTCATGTTGTGCCGATACCATATTTTATCGGAAATGTTTCATTTCTGTTTCAATGCAATATTTTCTGTGGCTTGAATTGTGGTGCAAATAGAGAGCCATGTATTACGTTGACCATGACATGCCTGTATCAAGTATTTTTAGCCGGTGACACAGCTGGTGATGTTTCTAGTGGTGACATTATTTGTACATTGTTTAATGGAGGACATGGTATTAGCATTATGTGCCTGTACTTGATTTGTTAAAAGTACTGAATTGTACATTCAAATACTGCATGAAGCTATTGTACTTACTGCATGTATATCAGCTCTTCAGTGTTCTATGCTATTGTCCAACTACAAATGAAATACACTGTACTACATTGTTATACATACACTATTGTAATAATACTACAAAATGTAATACATTGTAATATTGTTATAAACTTATAGTTAACAATTGTAATGCATGTACATTGTAGTACAATGTTACATATACACTATTGCAGTCATAGTGCAATGCACTTTTGTTATACACTATTGTATACATTGTTCTACACTCTTAAATGCCTGTGTATACATGCATTTTTAATAAAATTGTATGTTTATGCTATAGTGCTAAATGCTGTTCATTACAATACTGCATTGTGGTGCAGTATATTGTATTATTATGTAATAATAGTACATTCTATGGTGTACGTGGGTTGTAACTTGTTATATATTGGTATCCAACCCACATGCAGTCCTAAAATGTAGACTATTACTGTGCTGTATCATGGAATACAATATAAACTTATATTGCAATGTATGATAAATTATAGTGTAGACTATAATTGCACTGTAGGATAGCATACAATGTAAAGGGGATCATCTGTCCTAACGTCTGACGAGTAGGATGGAGAAGTTAATATAATGAGTCAGTTTTATGACGCAAGACGTATAAATTATTTGAGTATTTTTGCATGTTGTCGTTGTCAGTAGTGTAGTGAGTACTACATATTTATATTTTGTGGACAAAAGAAGAAGTCAACTTTGTACAAATGAAAGCAAATGAACAAAATATTCATTGACTGGTGTTTTTATTTTTTGCATGAATTATCTCCCTTTACCTGATACAAACTGTTGATAATTTGAAGACGCAAGCAGTTTGACTTGTCTCTGAATCCCCCAGTTGATTTCTTTTCACTGAGACGAAGTGAAAGTGTATAGTAGAGAAATTACCCTGTGCTGCCAAAGATGGATTTAATTCAACTGAACACCTGGGCCCAGTTGTTCAAAGTGTGATTAGCTTAATCAGTGATTAGCGCAAATTTCAATGTATGTGTATCTTTGAAACACACCTATTCACCGAGTTAAAACTTTCCAGATATCAAGTATTTAGTAGAGTTAATGTAAATGTAAAATTACGAGTTTTTACCTTGTATATTGACGAAATTATAAAAGGTTC